CTCCTATGCACAAGATGAAATTATAATACAATACAATATTAATGGTATAAATTTTACTACGTAATTTTAAAATAATTCATTTATGGTGATAAATAATGTGATATGGTGATACAAATTATATAACATATGTAACTACTAAATTGTAATCTGTATTTTGGAAGATCCAAAAGTTGACTAGAAGCCCGACAAGGGGTATGTATTCGTTTATTTGATAAGTATGTATTAGTTAAGTAACTTACGGACTGTTTTTATAAATTTATTTTTGTTTGTTACAGTTTTTCTTATTATCCTTATTTAACTAATAAATATATACACAAGCTAAGCAGCCTTATTAATTGACCCAAGCACCGAACCCGTAACACTGGCGCCGCAACGTGGTTGAAAAATAGGCTGACTACTGCAATAGAAGACAATAGTGCACACTTTACGACCAACACCACAAACACATTTACTCACATAATCAGACAATAGACGTTCAGTGTTACTTTGGCTGGTCACAAATGTGATCGGTTCTGATGCCATTGTATCGAGGAACATACAAGCACGTACTCAACATAGTGTTATAAAACAGGAAAATTTTAATAGTAAATAATTTAATTTAGATTCCGTATATATAAAGGTACGTAAGGCATTATTTTAATTTTTTCAAAACTTTGATAAGATTTCCTTTTGACAAATAATATTATTTTTAATATTTAAAAAATAGAATATTGTACAATAATTTATTTTCTGTTTACGATTTGACATTCATTTCTTTTATAATAATCAATTTTAATCATGGATATATCGTACTTGAATAAACCAGAAATTATTTATGAACTGAAATTACGAAACGCGAATTTTTAAATCCACCCAAACGGCTCAAGGATTGCGTGAAATTTTATTACCAATGATAGGAGACCGTGAGAAATATTCTTGGATTACTTATTTATTTATTGTTAGTACCCTGTAAATACTCATAACGTTTTCATTTAATTATTTGGCTACTCATACTTATTGTTATTTTTATTATCTTCATAATTTATTATTTTCATCTAGTGCGGTGGACAACACTATAAATAAGCCAATGTCAAAATACCAATTTAGTGCGGATGACAACACTATAAACAAGCCAATGTCAAATATCAATTTTAAAGTGCGGTTGATAACATTATAAATAAGCCAATATCAAAATATTTCTTTGTGTACTTATGTATAGTTATTTACTTACTATCTAACACTACATAATGTATTGTTATACCTAATGCATTACCTACTTTATTTATTACTACGATTGTATATTATTCTACACTCTACATTTAGACACTTACACAACACACTCATCTACACTCAACAACACTACACAATTCACCTAAAGTCAGCGGGTGGTGACTGACATTATTTTAAAGAAGCCTACACTATTTTTTTTTTTTAGGTCGATTTATTAGAGATAATCTTTCTTAAATACAAGTTACCTCTAATTGCTAGGAATTTTTATCTCAATAAGATAAAGATTGTTTGAATGATATTTGAATGATGAAGTAAGAACATTTTATGAAAGGGAAATCGCCTAATGTAATTTATCCACTATATATACCATCCCCATTTCTAAATTAAATCATGATAGCATTAATTAATCACATTTTATATAAAATATTTTAAGCTTGAGTAATCCAAGAATATCTAAAAAAAAACTTTCAGATTTTTTTAACCCCGGCCCCCCCGGTATTGTAACGGTGTGCCATGCCACCGTTTGTTTTCCTAGGTTTCAGTATGCAAACTTTTTGTTTTTGAAATTTAACATCATTTCATTTTATTATTCGTCTTTCGTAATTTAAAATTTTGACTAATCAATTATACTCTTTATGGATGTCAGTTCGTAAGAAATTCTCCTATGCACAAGATGAAATTATAATACAATACAATATTAATGGTATAAATTTTACTACGTAATTTTAAAATAATTCATTTATGGTGATAAATAATGTGATATGGTGATACAAATTATATAACATATGTAACTACTAAATTGTAATCTGTATTTTGGAAGATCCAAAAGTTGACTAGAAGCCCGACAAGGGGTATGTATTCGTTTATTTGATAAGTATGTATTAGTTAAGTAACTTACGAACTGTTTTTATAAATTTATTTTTGTTTGTTACAGTTTTTCTTATTATCCTTATTTAACTAATAAATATATACACAAGCTAAGCAGCCTTATTAATTGACCCAAGCACCGAACCCGTAACAATCATGGTGGACTACCTTGCAAAAGGTGAAACTATAAACTCTGCTTATGACTGCACCCTCTTACGTCGCTTGCGCGAAACAAAGAGAAAAGGCCAGGATTACTCAGCAAGAAAGTGTTGTTCCATCAGGATAATGCACACGTACACACGTCTGTAGAATCTATAGCTCAAATTCGTGATTGTGGCTTTGAATTACTGTCCCATCCCGCCTGTTCCCCTGATTTGGCACCTTCAGACTTTCATTTATTCCCAAACTTAAAAAAACACCTTGGAGGTCAAAAATTTTCATCAAATGAGGAGGTCGAAGCTGCGGTGGGTGACTTTTGAAGGCCTTGAATAAACTTTTTTTATGACCGGCATACAGGCGTTGGAAACCAGATGGAAGAAGTGCATAGAGTTAAGTGGAGATTACGTGGAAAAATAAAATTACTTTTGCTTACATTTTATATTGTTTTCTTGCTGAGGCCGTGAACTTTTCAATCCACCCTCGTAGTGATAAGTTACGATTCCTGTAATTTACTATTTCAACTATGAGTAATTTTTTGCCCTCTGCTTCGTTCGCGTGAACTACACTGAACCATATAAAATATTTATACATCTATGTATACCTATAAATAAAATTAAAGTGTCTGTTTGTAATAATAAACCGCATTTTACTAGATGTATGTATCTTTGAAACGGCTGGACCTATTTTGACGGAACTTTCACTGGTAGCTCATGTATTAAGATAGCTCATGTAATAAGGATTTACCAAGGCTATTTTCCACGCGGAAAGTCACGGGTACGTCTAGTTATAACTATAACCATACAAATATTGTAGCCCTTTTACACCCCTTTAGAGGTAGAATTTTAAAAAATCATGAAATATCTCATTCTAAATTTTAAATCAAGTAGCTAGGGAATGCAATCGCGTTCTCGCGAGATGTCGGCCTTTATAGCGAGTTTGATCCCGGTCGAAAAATGGGCGAGATCTCACGACTTTAAGGGGATTGTACTCGAGCATAAAAACGATTTATTCTAGTGCGAATTTATGCGAGTCCAAAGTCGAGGGGTCAAAATGCGAAGTTCTACAATTTTACAGTACTTTTATTTCCGAAAGGGCGTTCTCAGCGGCTGGTTATCTGAGCAGCACAATGAGGAGAAAAGAAACAGGCGATTCTTTGGAGATTTTGTGCTTCTTAAGAAACTACTTTCTAATAGATATCTGAATATATATAGTTTTCTTTAATCGATAATAATATCTGAGTTTTTTTTTTAATAATTCAATTTACATACTTAATGAGTTTTATTTTAATTTAAGATTTCTTGTAATTTTGTTATAAAATAACTATTTACTAATATCTAATATCTGCTAATATCAAACAAAAATATTAAAACACTTTTGTTTGATATTAGCAGAGAAGTTTGGTGTTTTATTTCATTTCGTATTTGATTACATACGTCAAAGTTTAGTACTTAAAAGTGCAGTATCTGGATGAGTGTAATGCAAAATAAATTTCATAAAAATTGTTGCAGTCATTTCCAAGATTCAGATTATAATACAGAAATCGCTCGTTTACGTTTACACACAACGCGGGCCCAGTGCGGATCGGTGCCTTCTGAAGCACGGAGGATCTGGAGATAATACATTTTTGGTCAGCCATCCTATATCTGACCTTTGGGAAAGTTGCATCGATTACCGAACGCATTAAACACCACGCTATCGGGGGCTCCTCCTTATTTATAAGTCAGTTCCTTTTTTTATATATATTAAAAGTTGCCTCATATCATTTGCTATTTAACCCAAACTTCTCGCGAGTATAGACTTAGCCACCACTGTGATTCACTAATCATGGCTGGGCTTGGTTAGTCCTGTATAAGAATATTGTAAATAACATATTTAACCTCTTTATCTATCTAACTGCATGTAGGATCAGTACTTTTTTTAATTACTTCAAATGACAGTAACAAAGAATATGGGGAAATTAAAAATATTATCTAGTTAATTGTTCGCGGAACGTGCGAAGACGCGTGATATTTTATGATACAGAAAAGTAAAAATTCACTCTAGCCAGGGCTGCTCAAAACTCGACCAAAAAACTCGTAAGAAGCAGCGCTGTCACGTCCTAGACATTCAACAAAATAAAACCTTCATTGACCTTTTTAAGTAGGTTTTATTTGATTGGACTTCCATGATTTGAGAGCGCTGCGTCTGACGAGTACCAGATCGATTTCATAACATCATTATGAGCTAAAACCTTGTTACAAACGCCCTGTTAAAATAGGCCGTCCTATGGAACGCATAAATAGCTTTAATGATTAATCTAGAATTATAAAATTGAAATTTAATGGCTCATTTCAATTCAATTAAAGTTCAACATAACAAGTTTGTAGTTTATTCGATTAATAACCCTTTTTCATTGTAAAGCTTTCTATGTATATTCAACATACATTTACAAAAATACTAAGAAAAATATTTTTTATTATGACTGAAATGAGTAATCGACTAATATCTGTCTCTCTCTCAAAATAAAGTAAAAGTATAGCATGGTGACGCCATCTATTTGTATGACCAGTAATCAGTATATTACTATCGATAATTTATCTGCGCATCAGAAGCAAGCGCACCACGTGTGCGTTATATCTTTGTCGCTAGTTCTATAAAACACAAACAGATGGCGTTAAACATAGGATTTTTTGATAGTAATCCTAATATTACGTATACTTTAATCCACATCTGATAAATGAATGATAACCAATGAATGATTATAAAAATATTTAAATATGACTCACCTCTGCCCAAAAGCATACGATGAGCGAAGATCCTGACATCAATAGCGGATAATAGGCAGACAGCAGACTGGTCGCCCATCCTTCTTGGAATGCAGACTGCCAACAATAATACGTAATAATATAATGTAAAACAAAGCTAGTAAGCTAGTGAATTCTTTCGCTTGAGGTAAACCCTAACTAATGTAATCAAATAGGCCAGACACAACCTGCTGTTGCGGGCTGGGTGGTTGGAGAGCCCTGATTTAAAGATTAAGATGTACTTCCCCTTCATTAAAGCTAGTAAACAAAATGAGTTATTGTTTTATAATATTTATTTCCCCATTAGTTTCTAATATTACAAATAAAAACCGATTAAAGTACTCTTTATTGCACATCAAGAAAATGACATGGACACACATAAATATTTTACACAACTTCGTACAAATACTATTATAGTGCATTTAAATTAATTAATTATTCTTGATAAGTCTTCATTTTATTATTAGGCATCTACTGCACCACTAGGTTTTATTGACATCTATACTAATATTATTAAGAAGTAACACTTTTGTTTTTTTTGTTGGGGGTATCTGAAATACTGAGCCTATCATAAAAATTCTTTCACCTGCAGGAACCTACATCATCATAGGTGGATGACATGAGTTATAATTCATGCGGGCGAAGTAACGGGGAAATAGCTAGTTTTTTTATATATGGAAAAGCTTGGAATTTTTACAAAGTTTGCCCAGTTTGTCGAAAAGAAATATTACAGTCCATAGTGAATGAATTATGCATAAATATACACTCTTGTATAAATATACACGAGACCTCAGTCACACAGTCCACAGTAAATGAATGATAAATTTTATTTGGACGTGAGATGTCGTGTATAAATATTACAGTCCACAGTGAATGAATGACGAAATTGATACTTTAATTTACTTACGGGGGACACGAAATAGGCGCCCCGGATGAGCGACGCTAGGAAAGCCACCAGATAGAGCATCTTCTGCGTAGTAACTTTGCAAGCTCTGAGGAATGTGGGAGCTTTTAATCGACGGTACTCCGTCACCACACATATAGTGAGCTGGACGGCGCACACGAACGCGACCAGCAGGAATACGCCACCAATACCTAGATAGAAGACATATTATTATTACACTAGCCCAGGTATGGGCAATCTGCGACTATTCCTAAATTATTAGTAGTTAGTTCATAAAAAGCACGCAGAGTTCATTGTAATAGAAAAAACATGTTCAGAAATCGCTTAAATCGTTGCGTTTTTATGGATGCGTTTGACGATATGGGCGGCTGATCGAATGACTGTTCATGATTTGGCCAAAAATTAGTGATCATATTGTAATTTTTTTTAGTTAAGTTTCCATTAGAGGTGCCGACGTCGCATTGTTTTTGTCATACATGATATTTTAGGTTATATATACAACAAACAAATAAAAGAACATAAGGGTGACCAAGCATTGGAAATTAATGAACCACTTTTAGATTTCTGATTGTTGTCTTAAATTTCGGGATTAATATTTTTTCGAACCACAGAATCACATACCGCTTACGTACAAACAAGCTTTTTCAGTAAATTATTAGATTACCTTTTTGGACACACTACATTAATAATGTGGCCAAACGTGGATTGCTATATCGGAAATATTAAACTTTACAAAGTTTTCTCACGCATTTTGATCACGATCTCTTAGACTATTACGTCAAATAGCTACATAATCCTACTACGCTTAGGGTTGTCACACTTTTAGTAGATATAGGTAGTTACCTATTGTTTATATTAAATAAAGCACACTCACATGCATGGTACGGCAGATTGGGCGCGGCGCATTCGTCGCCCGCGTATCTTATCTCGCAGAGGCACGTCCCGTTCATGCAGTCACCACGGCCGCTGCAGCCGAGCGCGCAGCCGGCCCTCTGAGCGGCCGCCGTCATCACCGCCTCAGCGTAGTACGCTAGAAGCGAGCGCATCTTATCACAGGCGACGCCAAGCGCCGCTTAATACTGGAAACAAATAAAACAACTATTAGCAGCATAGTTCAACCCTAAAGAGAAAGAGAGTAGCTAAGTTCTAAGATGAGCAACTAGAGCCCCCGATGGAGTATCTGAGGCGAAGAAGATCGGGTCAATGTAGAAAAGTCAATTTTCTACATTGACCCAATTGGGAATCAGACCTTTAAACCGATGTGAAGATGCTCAGTGGATAAGCGAAACACGTGTAAAGTAGTGATTGTTGCCGTTTGTAAATGTGAATTTATGTACGAGCGGAGCACAGCAAGTCTTGCAAATACTGACTGGGTATGAAAGTTGCTAGATATCATAGTTTCACGGTTACACACCAGACCCTTATATTATCTCGGACATAAGTCCTTATCAAGACAAAGCAAACGAGCTCAAACTCGATGGAGATGCCCCGTTGTTACATTACATGAGATCTTCATACACTCTTGAACGCAATCACGTTGGATCTACATTGCAATTGTGACGTTTCGTAATCTTAATTTGGAACACTAGACCCAAATGGCTCAATATTGCATGGTTATTCAATGAACTAATAAACATTTAGTAAGCATTGAGTCTATGTTTCTAGAGTACGAGCTAAGATTTGATGATCATTGGAAATGATCGTCTTTGGATTGGCTTGAAATTCACATTGACATTACGTTCAAGAGTAAGCCTGCAGCTGAATCCGATATTAAAATTGCGGGAAAACAGATAAATTAATACGTGAAGCAAAAACTGGACCCCTTTTTACGAAAATTGCGAGGACGGAGGAGTATGAAATTAGCACTCTTATAATTTATATGTAGGAGAAGTGCAAACGGCTTATAATTTTCAATAATAATAAAGTACATTAAAATCGATATATAAAACATTACACACACTAATATGCATTTGACACACACAAAAAAGGATTTGCTACACGCATACATGTACTCTGTGGTCAAATTGTTTCTTTTGACATAGAGTTTGTTTGTTTCTTTTGAATATTGGCTTCGCACGGTTTGTGCATTTAGCCAGTGTCAAGTGTTATATGTTTACCATAGAAATATATTTATATGTTTGTGATGTTTACTGTGGTCTTACTGAATTTCAAAACATTTTCGATTTCAGTAATAACTTATGATTGAAATTTATTATGGTCGAATTTCGACCACTGGGCGACCGTAGTGGTAGGTATAAATAAATCTAAAATAACCTTCTAAAACTAAATCTTGATAATGTTATCAAAATAATGACTATATTGTCAGCTGTCGGTGTCATGATAACATTATGATAGCATTAATTTTGATTTCCTAAATAAGAATAAAGTCGTAAGTTTTTTATAGTTACTTTATGTAAAATATTCAATTGATTTACATACAAAATCTAAAAATAGAATCTTTATATTACCTTCAGATTTACTTTACAACTTAAATGGTTATTTATACATATCACTTATTTACGAGCAATATACGTTTATGATTTGTTATTGTTTTTCAAATACAGGTTAGTATATTATATGACAATTACACATCTTTATTATAAAAACAAGATTCATTTTTCATCATTCATTCATAAATATTTGGTCACCAATCTTATTCCAACCCTTGAGAAAGTTGCTTAACCTAATCATCGGAGATCAAACGTGTTAACCTCTTCACTCGGCTCACTAACAGACGGAATAAATTATATTACATGTGACTACAAAATTACGTTAAAATAAATCCAAATTGAATTAAAACTTTTTTCATGTTCGCATTTTTTTAATCAATTTATTGATTAATTTCAAATATTAAATAAACGAGTACACAATCAACGATATACACCAAACGCCTGCAACACCTCCGTCTCAGTATCAACAATCGCAAAAGAATACGTATAACCGCACAGATATCTTTGAAGCTTCTTAATTTTTATATCATTAGCAACAACGGGCAATATTATTTCACCCTTGGTGATTTCCGACAATTTAAGTTTACAACCGACGAACTCTTCTATGGCGTCTATGTAAACCTCATCTTCCTCATCGTCACTCGATTTATCACACCTCAAAAATCTCACATAAGGTCCGAAGTATCCATAAATGTATCTTCCGTATAAAGTGAACGATTTTCCATCATATGAGAATAGAGTATGAATGCACGTCATTAAATCACCCCAGTTCATAGTTTTATTAGCTTCTACACTGGTGTCAACAGGCACTGATAATTCTTTCCTGTGTGTGGCCTCTATCATCAAGTCTATGTATTCCCATATCTTAGGTTCATCAGTTTTATACAATATATTTCCACAATAATACACAGCTTTACATTCCACTGCCCTATCGAAGTCGTCTAGATCCGCATCCGCAGCGACCATAGCAGGATTCGGATAGCAACAATGTATATCATATTTGCCGTCCAAATAATAAGTCTCAGTAATATGATTATCACCGGGAAGATCTTTGGATTTCGCCGCAAACTTGACTTTGTCATAAAAAACACTTGATTCTGACGACATTTTCAAATACACAAAACAAAAATATTTTAGAAACGAGTTTTGTTTTGGCGGACCGAAAGTCAGTGAGTAGAAATAAAAATAAGGTAATAATTAGTTGAAGATACCCGCTTTTTGCCCACAAATTCTTTATATTTTTTTTATCGAACCACATACCCTCCATCTTATTTTAAAAATACTCGTTTTCGTCTTCCTTTTAGTTCAATATCGACTGATATATCAAAATCTTTCTATGCCTATATAAATAATAGGGAATTACTTGTATTTGCTTAATCTGCGTTACTCGTATAAATTACTATAGCATTAATTACAGAATGTTACTCTAATATTTGAGAATATAATATGAAAATGACAGATATAAATAAATAAATAATAAATAAATATTTAACAACACCACATACATTGCTCAGATTCCAAGATGAGTAGCTAAAGCCCCCGTATTATGGAATATCTGAGACAACGAAGGTACCACAACACCCAGACCCGAGTCAATATAGAAAAGTTTATTTTCTACATTGACCCAACCGGGAATCGAACCCGGGACCTCAGAGATGGCGACACCTTGAAACCGGCGTGCGAACCACTCTGCTACGGAGGTCGTCAAAGTCAAAGATATGGTTAAGCTTCGATGTTGCTGCAATATACAATGAGAAGGGAAGATATATTTCATTTTATATACTAATAATAAGTATTATTTTTCACTTTTTTAACATATAGTTTTAGTTAGCTACCTTTTAAAATATATAACGTATGTTTCAAAAAAAAAATTAAAAAAGTAGGCAGAATACATAACATAAAAAAAATCAACGATATAAAGCAAACGCTTGTAACACCTTTGTCTTATCATCAACAACAGTAGCAAAGAAATATACCTACGTAATAATTTACAAATCTTATTTCATCGGAAACAATAGATCAATATCTTCTGAATTTATCACTGGTAGTTTGAGCATATAATCATCATAATATTCTCTCTTTGGATAATTCTCAAGTTTAGCGTAATTATATTCATCATCATAATATCATAATAATCATCCTCCATGGAATCATTTTCCGGTTTATTACATTTCGAAAATTTACAAACGGTGCCCCTTCGAATTTTGTTTTAATTTCCACACTGGTATTTTCAGGCACTGATAATTTCATCTTGTACGTCGTCTCTATCTTAGGGTCAACAGATTTATATAATATACTACCACACATATAAACAATAAACGGCTTCTTCAAACTCATTTAAATTCACGCGCTATTCAAAAACCGCGCAATTTTAACCACAATTAAATGCCGTCCAAACAAAATGTATCGATAACTGTTAATCTGGCTGTTTATCAATTTATTTTAACTTAAACTTGATTTGATTATAGCAAACGCAAGATCATAACCGACGATAATATCTGGAAAGTTAACTATTTTCGTTTTCAACCGTTTCTTAGAAGCAATAATGGTATAAATCCCGTAAATTACTAATGCGCTGGAACCATGTCAAAATAACATCCACGTGACGTCATTTAAAAATAGAAAGTATCGATAGCACAGAATTAAAGATAATTATTTATTAATTTTGAAATATTTATAAATAATAACCCAAAATATGGTTAAAATAATTTAGTAACGTTTAATTTGTTAATTTATCGCACAAATTTTTGGAATAGGTAAATTTTTATGTTAATATATAAAGGTATAGGAAAATAAAAATAATATGAAAAAATACATTAAAAAGATAAGTTAAATCCAAGACAACACAGTGTAAAATCTTTCTGAAATGGTCTGAAATGTACAAACGCAGTGTAGGTTTTTTAATACATGAACAATTGATACAATAATAATAATCTGTTTCCACATATTAAAATTTACAATTACTTAATGACATCATGCCGGTTTGTTTACTGATTATGCTAGCTCCCCCCTCTGCGCCGTACTTTAAATTATGTTCCCGAACAGATTTTTTTTATAATGTTTATATAAGTACTACATATATATTCATTCGGAGCCTAAAGAAAAGAGTTAACTCTTCGCGGCATCGATCTGGCTGAATAGATATTGCCTCAAAGTAACAATTTAAATAGAAACGTAATAGTTAGTTATAAAACTATGATAAAACACTAAATACCTATGTAATATAGTTTAGTCGATATAGATATATATAATTATATCTATACATATACACAAAGATGGTTTTCTGGCTTTACGCCCATTGTTTATATTTCCAGGATGATTCTACTGCAACTAATGCGAACTGTCAAACGAGATAAATTCACTCCTAAAAAATCTTATATATATATATATATATAAGATTATATTTTTATCGAACCAATTATAAAATCAAATTAACATTTTGGCTCTTAATAATTTTATTTGGACAAATAACAAATTAATTAGATTTAATCATGTGTATAAGAGAGCTATTATACGTCAAATGGATCACATACATTCTCAAGTACCTACTCAAGTATTACAGACAGTTCAAAATATGACATCAATTTGTTAAGGACTAGCTATTTTCCCGCAACTTCGCTCGTAAATTA